ATTGCGCTTGTTTTGTCGTGTTTCTTTTTTTGTTTTTTATTTACTTCTAGTAAATACGACACACACACACACACACACACACACACTGCCGCGTGCATGTGCACCTGCTCTTGTGAGTACGCGCATGCACGCCAGCAATGAATATAACGTGTCCGAATGGAAATTATATATATATATATTTCTTTCTTTCTTTCTCTGAGTGTGTGTGTGTTGTTGTTGTTGTTTTTTTTTTATGTGCGAGTCCCTGCGTGAAGCCTTTATTGATGAGCAACATCCACCCACGTAACACTGGGTTGCTCTCAGTGCGGCTACTGCCATGATGAGCAATATAATGCCTTCAGTCTGCATCTGTGGGACATCGTTCCCTCCTCTCGGCACACGCGCACACGTCTTGTAACAGACGCACTCAGATGTATACTTTAAAACGTGTGTGATTGCTGTGCCGTAGTTGTGATGTGTGCTGCTTTGGCCTGCTTTTTCGCGCCCTGCACATTGCGTGAATGCATGCCTGCGTGCACGTAGGGCTTGTATCTGTGGCTGAGCGGGCAGGTCCGTCACTGCACCCGCGGCGCTGGGGGGGGACGGGTCGCTGCGGGACGTGTCCCTCGGGGGGTGGGTGGAGGTGACTGGGCCGCAACAAAAAAAAATGAAAAAGAAAAAGAAAATGACAAGGACGAGCAAAGAAGAAAGCGAAAAAAAAAAGAAAAGAATGTCGCTTCTCAGGTAAATGCAGGAATGAACGAGCCCAACATGCGTGTCAGGCGAAGAAGGGATAAAAGAAGAAGGATGAGGTCAACCGTCCATGGCAATGAGTGAGTAACGAAATATATGTGAATGCAGAGGAGCAGTAACCGCCTGGATGGAGCGGGGCTAGTAGGGTAAACTCGACGCTGCTGCCACGAATGTCAGTGGCAATAATGAACGGTGCTGGTCGCCTGATAACGGATGCTGTGCGATGTGCGGGCTGCACTAGAGGGAGGAAGGAGTTCTGTGTGTGTAGAGCGATGGGGGAGACACACACAAACACACGCACACAGTCGGAGTCCGTTTGTAATGGAAGTTCATTTGGAGCGGGGCCGAGGTGAAGCGACAGCACGGGGGACTTCTGCTTGCGCCTTTTTTTTTATTTGCATTTAGTGGTTGGTTGAAGTTGTTGATTGTTTTTTTTTATTATTCCACTGTGCTTCGCCGCGATGGTCGCGTCCCTCCCATCACTTCCCAGCTGCTGCAATGAGTCCCCCGGAGTGTGCGCACGCGTAAATATCTTTGTACTGGCCCCAACCTGCCAAAAGTAGATATGTATGTATGTAATAATGTGTCTGGTAGGGTAAGTATGTGTGTGTGTGTTTTTTTTGTATATATCTTGGGCTCCTTTTTGGGGTTGCTTAAGTGTCTCTGAAAGAGCGTTTGGCCCATGTATTATCGTACCTGAAAACGGAGTACGCGCTATTTCGTATAGATATGCATCTGTGTGTGTGAGAGAAAGAGAGAAGCGGGGTGTATGTGCCTTCTGGCGCCTTAGGCTGCATATACGCATATATATATGTACGCTGAGCCTGACTGACTTTGCCTACGACGCACGCACAACCACAGCTGCATGCACGCATCCGCTGCTACGCACGTCTACATGTCATTATTACAACACCTGTGGCGGCAATAGTCTGCGACTCACAGCTGCGGATGGGACGAGCGGGTATTGGGTGTGAGTGCGGGGAGAGGGAGAGAAGTTCTCTTTGCACGCATGCATGATTGTTAATGTGCACGTACGATAGGTGTTGCTGCGGCCCAGCGGGTACTGTGATGCCCGCACTGACGCCTAACAGACACACCGTCAGACGCTCTTCTGGCACCAACGCACACTTCGCACAAAACGGGGTGAAAGAAATAAAGAGAAAATGGGTTTTACGGGGTAGGCCGTGTGTGCCTGTGCAACAAGAACAAAAAGCGAAGAAATTCCACCTGCTGCTGTGGGGATGTAAGATGTATTCTCGCTCTTGCTCTCTTTTGTTGTTGCTCTTGTTTTGGGGTTTTGCCTCCCAATTTATTCTGCAGCCTTCTCGTTTCATTCTCTCTTCTGTGTGTGTGTGTGTGTTGTTGTTGTTGTTGTTGTTGTTGTTGTTGTTGTTGTTGTTTTTTGCATCTTACAGGTAGATCTTGTGTGCCACCTTGATGCTCTTCCTCCTTGTCGCCGGTGGGCTCGCCGTGGCGGCGGCGGCTGTGCTGGCGGTGGCGGTGTGGAGTGTACAGCGCGTGCCGTCCTTCAGCGTTGCCGGCTGCCACGCGTTGGTGACTGGCGGCAGTTCAGGTATCGGGTTAGAGACCGCCCGTCAATTGGTTCGTCAAGGGGCGGGAGCCGTCGTCATATCGGCGCGGCGGGCAGATGTATTGCGGGCGGCGGTCGAGGAGCTCCGGGCAGAGGCCGGGAGGAACGGCACGCAGGTGTTTTACGTGGAGATGGAAGTGGGCGATGAGGCCTCCGTGGCACGCGCCGTGAATCTTGTGGAGACGACGATGACGGGGGGTGCGGGGCTTGACCTGGTGGTGTGCAGCGCCGGCTTCTCCATTCCGTCGCGCTTTCTTGAGACCCCCGCCGGCGACGTCCGCCGCATGCTGGAGGTGAACTTCTTCGGGTGTGTCCACGTGGTGCGGGCGGTGCTGCCGGCGATGCTGCAGCGGCGTCGCGGTCGCATTGTGCTGGTGAGCAGCTTGGCCTCCCGCTGCCCCATTGCCGGCTATTCGTCTTACGCCGCCGCCAAGGCCGCCGTTCGTGCCTTTGCCCACAGCCTTGACATGGAGAACAGTTGTCTGGGGGTGCGATTCCAGGTTGTGTGCCCGCCGGACATCGAGACGCCGGGGCTGCAGAGTGAAAACCTCCTTAAGAGCCCGGAGTGTAAAGCCATTTCGTCCTTTGGCGGCAATGCCCCCTACACCGCCGAGGCCATGGGCCGGTGCATCGTCAAGAACATTAAACGATATCGCTTTGACGTGGCCCTGGGAAGCGATGCTGTGCTTTTGAGTTGGGGATCCGCTGGCATCGAGCCCGCCACGAGTTTGTCCGAGCTCCTCTTTCAGTTTCTCTTTTCGGGGTGGCTGCGGCTGATCATGGCTGCCTACTCCAAGGTGCACTACCGTATCGTTCAGCGCGTGCGCGGCGAGGAGGCATCCCCAGTGAAGGACAAGGAGATGTGATTATCTTTCTCTCTGGGCTGGGCAGGGCTGGGTGGGTTGCACTTTGCGCCTCTGCGCCGTTACTTTTGGTAGCTGGTCACACAAGAGGTAGACTGACGGCGCTGACTTGGCTCTAGCGTGGGCGTCACCTTGCTGGCCACGCTTTTATTGCCGGCCCCTCCCCTCCCCTCCCCTTCCCTCCCTTAGCACACGAGTATGTATGACAGGAAAGCATACTGCCACTTTATCACACTATTTTTGTTGTTGTTATGCCGTGTCTGTCGTGCAATGTGTGTGTGTGTGTGTGTGTTTGGAGGAATCCGTCGGCACCTCACTCCCATTTACGAGTTGTGTCGTCCGCCTTTGCCCCGTTCACGACATCGTTCGTGTTGCATGAAGATAAAGTCATATCTACATGTAGCAGGACACTCTCTTTCCTCCTCTTTTTTTTTTACTGAATTGTTGCATTGGGTGTCTCTTGCCGCAGTCTGCCGACGCCTCCTTTAGTTGACGCACTGCAGACCTCTTCTTCAGTTTTTTCGTTTTTTTTTGTTGTGGTTTGTTGCGTTCGTTGAATTGGGCGGGTGCACGCACCGGCCCTTTTGTTTTTTGTTTTTTGTTTTTCTCTGCGGCGCATGCCGTACTTCTTCAAGCCGCTGAGTAGACGCGCAGGTGGGCTGCTTGCGGCGGCGGCGGCGGTAGCGGCGGGCCTGTGCGCATTGGACGGCTGCCGTGACGGGGAGCTGCGCCGCGCGCGGCGCGAGCCCGCCGTGCCGCTCTTTGACGCCAGCGCCGTGGAGCGCGTGGAGGAGCACGCGCGCCGCCCCTGCCAAGCCTTCCCCGGCTACGCCGTGGTGGTGTCGAACTACTACGCCCGCACCCCCGCGGCTGGCGCGCCCAGCGGCGGTGGCGGTGCACCGCCGCTCACACGGTTGCGCGAGTTGTTTTCAAACGAGACGCACACCGTCGTGCAGCGCGGGGACCCGCTGGCGGAGGAGAACCAGCTGCACACTGTGCGTGAGGTGGTTGGGGACGCGCGGGCGCGGGCGCCGGCCGCGACGCCGGCTCCGTTCCTCGCCTCCTCGACGTGGCCGCCGGGGACGGCGAAGTACGCGGCGATGACGATTGAGCCGACAGCGTCTGCGGTCTTGGCCGCGGGGGAACCCATCGGCGCGCTCCGCCGCCTGGCGGACCGGACGACGCAGCAGTCGCTCATTCGCTGCGACCCCTTTGCCTCCCCCGCCATCAACTGCGCCGGAGACGCGAGTTACTTGGGGGCGCCGTACCTTCGCACCATGTTGAGTGCTTTCCTGCTCCTGCCGCTGCCGCTGCCGCGACTGCGCGTGGCGGTGCTTGGCGTTGGCGGCGGCTCCCTCCCCTCGTTTCTGCAGCGCTACTTCTCACGGGACATGACGCGGCTGGACCTGGTCGACGCCGAGCCGCAGTGTTTCCGGGCGGCTGTGGAGGACCTCGGCCTGCGCGAGACGATGCGAGGGGGCGTGATGGCGTGCCACGTCTGCGACGCCGCCGCGTTCCTGCGGGAAACCGTCGTGGGGGCAAGTGGGGCCGCTCCCGCCGGTGAAGTGGCTCCGCCTGTCGAGGGCCACCAACACGGCCGGCGCTACGACGTCCTTTTTGTAGATCTGTTTGTGGGTAGTGCGCCCCCCGCCTTCCTTTCCTCGCCGTCGTTCCTGCAGTTGTGTCACGAGGCGCTATCGTCCGTGGGTGTGGCGGCGTTTAACCTGCCGGCACCAGACCCCGAGTTTACAGACACGTGTCGCCGAGTGTTTGGCCGCGGCAATGTTTTCCAGTTCCCTGTCCCTGCCTCCGCCAACGTGGTGGTGCTTGCACGACGCGTCGTAGGGGGTGACCTGGGCAGTGGCGTGTCCATCTCCCGTCGCCACTTCTACCGACGAGCAAAGGCACTGCAAAAATCCCACGCGTTACCGTATGACATTGCAGATCACTATCCCTTCTGGTGGCGCTTTTGGTAGGCAGGGTACTACGTATTTGCCGTGGCCGTAGTTGTGGTGGTGTTCGGTTGGTCCATTGCACGCATACAAATCGGTGTGCCCTGCCTGGCTGCCTGGCTGCGAGGGTGTTTGTTTTTTTCTTGTTATTTTTCTTCCCCGGGCGGAGAGGGTTTATATATATATATATTTTTGCTTTTGAGCGGTGCTCGTACTTCATTCCCTCCGTTCGTGGGTTTTATTTTGTGTTGTTCACTGCGCACCCACCTTTGCCCTTCCCTCCCCCGGAAATCATTTTTTTTTTCTCCTGCTTTCTGCCTTCTGTGTGCGTGTGTGTGTGGCTGTGGCTGTGCGGCCGCCCCCCTGCGTTGGGTTCTTCTGGCCGCAGGAAGCGTCGGACGTTTTGGTGAGGCCCTCGAGCTTCCCCCGGCATGTCAACTGCGGTGTTGGCGGCACGCGCCTGCGCGCGGACGATATTGTGGCAAAGTCTCCGTCTAGCCGACTTCCACGGCGCCGTTCCCCACGTGCTGCTGGTCGTCGACCGTTCGCCGTGCGCTCTGCAGAAAGTCCTCCTTGAGGGCTACCTGCGGGAGCTCGAGCTCGTCAACGGGGCGCCGCCGGACGCGGCGGGAGGAGGCCCGCTCCGTGTCGACCTCGACCCCGCCGCCCCGACGCCCTGCTTCAGCGCCGGGCTGGACAAGGACTGGCGGGTGACGTACGGCGTGCTGCCCTTCCGCGCGGCGTCGTTTCTGGAGGAGGTGCGGGCCCTGCAGGCGTTTCTGCGTCAGTGCGGCCCCCCCGTTGCCGCAGAGGAGGAGGCCGGCGGCGGCGGACGCTGGTCTGAAGAGCGACGGAAGAGCGCCTTTGAATCCCTGGCGCCCCTCTTGGCGCCTTACGCCGCTGCGGCGGCGGCCAGTGGCGAGGCTGCGGGTGATTGTGGGGCGTGGAGGGGCGAACTCCTCCACGCGTTGCCTGCGGGGCCGCCGCGGGAGTTGCTGGGCTGCATCCTCATTCAGCGCCACGCCTTCCAGAATGAGCTGGAAAAGTACCGCCTGCGACTGGACCTCTTCAACATGGGACTCCGAGTGGCGGAGCACAACCACCTGGAGTGCATGAGCCGCACGGCGGACGCGCTTGCCGGCGGGAAAGACGGCGGCAGCAGGGAACGATGCTTGGAGGAGGAGGAAATCATACATTACATGCAGTCATGTTCGCTGCAGCCGCAGGTGGCGGAGTCGGTGGGACGCGCCATTGCCGACTCCATTGATGCATGGAGCTGGAAGAGGCACTCCGTCGCTGCGGATGGCGGCGAGGGCGTCACAGTAGACGTGGTGCCGCCTGCATCATTCTCCGAAGCCCTGGCCAACGCCGACGTGCTGTCCGTCTACAACGCGGGCGTGCTGCGGTGGGAGGGAGGCTCCGGCGCCGAGAGCACAAGGCGCTCTCGCGCCGAGGCGGACGGCTCCGCCGCGGCGTTGAAGATTAGCGGCCCAGGGGCGCCACTGCGCATCGTCTGCCACGACGGTAAAGTGTTGAGTTTCGAGGGTGGGTTGGAGGACTGTCTGCTAAACACCGGCTACTACGCCGCCGCCCACACGGAGGAGCGTAACTGTGTTCGGCGCCACCGTCAACGTTTCCCTGTCTCTGCCGCGGCTGAGCCAACGAAGGAGGAAGGCGAGGGGGAGGGATACACGGCACCTGAGCCCGGCGCCAGCGAGGCCGAGAAGCGGGGGCGCCTAAAAAAGAAGGAGTACCTGGCGACGCTAAAACTCACGGGGAGGAAAACCGCGGCGGGGCGCGCGTCTTCCCCGTCGGATGGGAACGACGAGGGCGTGCGCCGCGGCGGTCACGACTGCGGGGCGTGCGTTGGCAGCAGCATTGGCGGAACCTTCCCCGTCGGGGAAGTCATCAGTGAGTCCTTTGACTTGAGCAAGCTGAACGGCACCTGCTCCGTCTTTGCCTACCCGAGCCTCTTCAAGGAGGTCACAATGTCGGACCCGGAGCCGGTGGCAATGCGCATAGAGAAGGGCGTTGTCACGGACATTGGGCCAAATGCGCCGGCGGAACTCGTTGAGTTGATCGGCCTGGTGCGGCAGGCGGAGGGGGCGTGCTACGTGCGAGAGCTCGGCATTGGCCTCAGCCCGCACGTGGGCAGGGGCCGCGTTGTCAGCGACGTGTCGGCGTTTGAGCGGCAGTTTGGCGTGCACATCTCGCTGGGGCAGCGCCACCCGCTCTTTGTGAAGCAGCCGGGCAAGCGCAATGCGGACGGGTCGATGGCGGTGCGGGTGGAGGGCCCCGTGCTGAAGCGCAAGGCCGGCAAGTACCACATTGACGTCTTCCTCGACGCCGCACGGCTCGAGATGGGGGCGTTTGTGGTGGACTTCACGAAGGGGGTGTGCGCAGCCCCGCCCTCCGCCGCCGCCGCCGCGACACGCGCATGAGCGTAGGGTGCGGGTGAGAGAAGTGAGGACGTGAAGAGAGAGGAGTAAAAGAAAGGAAAAGAAAAGGCGACGAGGGACACCCCACACGGCCAACGAAACAGTTAGGAATAAACAATAGCAGGGACGCGGAGGCGACGTCGCCCCCACTGCGCCCCTTTCACGTGAAGCATAATTTGCGCTGAGTCCGTTCTTTGCCCGCGCTGTGGTCAGTTTATGCAGAACGGTGGTGCATCTCCGCGGCACACCTCCGCAGGCGGTGGGGAAACTGTGGGTCGAACGAAGGCTGGGGGAGCGCCGATGAGCCTCAGTTGATGGGCCCTCTCACCCCTGCTCCGCCGCTTCCCTTCCCTCTCGCTCTCTCTCTCTCTCTCTCTCTCTCTCGCCTCGCTTGCGCCACAGCACAGCATACATAACATTTACACACTCAATTTTGTCAGGCGACGGTGAAGCGGCCATTTGTGTAGTTTTCACGGACCAAAGAGGACTGCGGCGTCTGCAAACACGAGAAAAGAAACAACAGCACGGGCAGCGGGCGTACGGTTGCGTGTTTGTTTGGTTCTCGTTGGAGGGGTGCAGCAATGCGGCGTAACACGTGGCTTCGCTCGGCGGCGGGACAACTTCTCGCGGACGGTGAGTGTCGCCTCACGCGGCTGGCTGACCACGTCGGCGTGCTTGCGCTCAACCGCCCCTCCCGCAAAAACGCGGTCGGCCATACGCTCCTCCGCGAGCTGGGCGAGTGCATCCGCATGTGCCGTGACCCGGCAAACGCCATTCACTGCCTTGTGCTGGAGAGCCAAGTCGACGGCGTCTTCTGCGCCGGGTCGGACTTGAAGGAACGTCGCACAATGTCGTTTGAGGCAGCCCGCGCATTTGTGCAGAACCTCAGCGACACTTTTACCGCCTTTGAGGACCTCCCGATGCCCACAATCGCCGCGGTGGAAGGGAAGGCCCTCGGCGGCGGCTGCGAACTGGCGCTTTGCGCTGACATGCGCGTGGCCGGGGCGGCGGCGACGTTTGCGCTGCCGGAGACGGGTCTTGCGATCATCCCCGGCGCCGGCGGGACGTATCGCGCCCCTCTGGCGATGGGCCTCAGCCGCGCGCTGCATCTTATGCTGACCGCGGAGCAGGTGACGGCCGAGCGAGCGCTGCAGCTCGGCCTCGTTAACGAAGTCGCCCCCAAAGGCGAGGCGTCCGCGGCGGCGCTGGCGCTGGCGCGGCGTATCGCCCGCAACGGGCCGGTGGCGCTGGTGGCGGCGAAGGCGGCGGCGCGTGGCGGTTATGGGCGACCGCGTGACGAGGGCATGGCGTGCGAGGCGGCGCAGTACGATGTGGTGCTGGGGACGGAGGACCGTCTGGAGGGGCTGCGGGCATTCGCGGAGAAGCGGCCGCCGAAGTACGTGGGGAAGTGAGCGCGGTTTTTCTCTCTCTTTCTGCGTGTGTGTGTGTGTGTGTGTGTCTGCCTCTTCGCCGTCCCCGCAACGGCGAGCGGCCCCCACCGTTTCCCCCTCCGACGTGCACGGGGAGGAGAGCAGACCGAACATAACTGGGCCTGCAACGCCCGCGTAGCATTGCCGGGCCGCGGTGGCGGCATTTCTCCCTTTTGATATTTATATTTATATTTGCCTTGATTCCTGTTGCGGGTGGGTGCTGTTGTTGCCAGTTTTTCTTTTGTGTGTGGGTCTCGGTTTTTGTTCTTGTTCGTTTGTCTGCTGCCTTCGCCCCACACTCACAGGAACCGCGAGTAAAAGAAGAAAAAAGGGGAAGAGGAGAAGAGAAAAGCAAACACATAGATAGATATATCTGTCTGTCTGTCTGTCTGTCTGTCTGTCTGTCTATCCCGCACGTCCACACGACAAACTGCCAAACGCACGAAGCAAACCGTCGCACACGCACAACAACAACACCAACAAAAAAAAGAAACCACGAGGTGAAACGGAGGTTGCTCCCCCTCCCATCGGAACGAAGGGCACGTCAGAAACAGGAAAAGCAGCGGCCTAAAGCTACACCCGGGAAAGAAGAAGAAGAAGAAACGGAATGTCTGCCGAAGACGACTGGAAGAAGAACCTCCTTGTGCCCAAGAAGGACACACGCAAAAAGACAGAGGATGTTGAGTCCCGGCGCAATGTCACCTTTGAGGAATACGGACTACGGCGTGAGCTGCAGATGGGCATCTTTGAAAAGGGGTTTGAGCGCCCTAGCCCTGTGCAGGAGGAGGCAATCCCTGTCGCGCTGCAAGGCAAAGATGTGCTAGCACGTGCCAAGAATGGTACGGGGAAGACGGCTTCCTTTGTCATTCCCGTGCTGGAGAAGGTGGACACGCGCGAGTCGTACATTCAAGCCCTTTTGATGGTTCCCACACGTGAGTTGGCGCTACAGACGGCGCAGGTAACCAAGGAGCTGGGGAAACACATCGCGGGACTCGAAGTGATGGTCACAACCGGTGGAACTACCCTGCGCGATGACATCTTGCGCCTACAAAACCCTGTTCATGTGCTTGTGGCGACGCCGGGGCGCGTGGTGGATCTCGCGAGCAAGCGCACCGCGAAGCTGGACCGCTGCCGCATCATTGTGCTTGACGAGGCGGACAAGCTCTTGTCACAGGAGTTCACCGAATTGATGGGGGAACTCTACACCTACCTGCCCGCGGACCGCCAGTCGCTTTTGTTTTCCGCCACCTTCCCTGTGACGGTGAAGGATTTCGCCGACCGCTACCTGCGCAACCCCTACGAGATTAACCTAATGGAGGAGCTCACCCTGCGAGGTGTGACGCAGTACTACGTCTTTGTGGAGGAGCGGCAGAAAATTCATTGCCTGAACACACTTTTTAACCGCCTGCAGATCAACCAGTCCATCATCTTCTGCAATAGCGTGAACCGCGTGGAGCTGCTGGCGAAGAAGATCACCCAGCTCGGCTATAGCTGCTACTACATTCATGCTCGCATGCAGCAGCAACACCGTAACCGCGTCTTCCACGACTTCCGTGAGGGCCACTGCCGCAACCTCGTCTGCTCTGACCTCATCACTCGTGGCATTGACATCCAGGCGGTCAACGTCGTGATTAACTTTGACTTCCCCAAGTATGCCGAAACTTACCTGCACCGTATTGGCCGCTCCGGTCGCTTTGGCCACCTCGGCCTCGCGATCAACTTTGTGACCTACGATGACCGCTACAACGTCTACCGCATCGAGAAGGAGCTCGACACTGTGATCAACCCAATTCCGGGCGAGATTGACCCCGAGCTCTACGCCGCGTAGGCCGCGGCGGATGGGGGCGGGGCGGCAGTAGGCGGCGGCGGCCACGAAACCCGGCGGAAGCGACCGCGCAGCGATGAGGCGATGGGGGGCGGGGGGGCGGGGGCGGGGGCTTTTCGCTTTGGCCGCCGCCCCGCCCCCCCCCCCCCCCAAACTCGCACGCGCGCCCACAACTCCCCGGCCCCCCCGAAGGGAAAAGAAGCAGAAAAGAAAAAAAGAAGAGATTTTAAAAATGAAATGTGAGGAAAAACAACAAAAAGAGGAGGAACAAAAAAAAATTTTTTTTGGGGGGGAGGGGAGAGAAATGAAGTGAGCAGACAAAAAAAAGGAGAGGGGGGGGGAGTGCGGCGACGAAGGCAAGAGAGAGAGAGAAAGGTGCGTGTGCGTGTGCGTGTGTGTGTGTGGAGGAAAGAAAGAG